ATGAGCATCTGTATATATCTCAAGAAGATGCATATTGGCACACCCACACTTAACATGTTTTTTTCCCTGCACAAGTGCATTCCCATGGCTATGTTATATCAATTCCGAAGGGTTCCCACACAAACCTCCACGGGATGCATACATGTACCGGTACACGAACACAGTCGTGGCAGCCCAAATGCACATGCTTTCAAAAAGGGCTCCCTGATATCGCTAAGACTTTGCTCAGAAATACACCACAGGACTGATAAAACATGACATCCCACTGATAACCTTGGACCAAAAAGGGTTCCTTGTAAAATCCCCAAGCGACCAGGCAATATTTGTTTAAGGAACCATCCTGCCAAAATCATAAAGCAATATACATGTACACTGTACAGTGTACAAGTATTTTAATTCACTGTAATGTATGTGTGTACGACGTACATGAACGGCGTTGCTGCCTATTTGGACAACTGCTAAGGGCACAGTTAACTATGAAAATAACTCCATAAAAGACCCAATACTGGCTACACTAAACATGCTTGAGTTTGTGAGGCCATGCGGAACCATTTTTTTTTCAATGGAGACCATCCACTGCGGGCAAACCGACAAAGAGTTGGAAACACCACATGTTTACCACAAGGCATGGGTACATGAAAAGCTTTTTAAAAACTGAGTCACTGATGATGCATGCAGCCAGGTCATTGCTGAAAATGAACAAATTTCAGACATTAAAAAATGCAAACACTGAAAAGTGCCACGTCATTTACAAAACCCACAATTAGCCCAAACCACAACAATCCGCTCCCAAGTGGAACAAAAGAGAGCGTGGTTTTCTTTTGGGGGGGGGATACTCACCGCATAGGCACACCATGAGGCACACAAGTCTATGCGCATTTGACACGGAGCACGCTGAGTACGCGTAACTAATTTACTCCAGCATGTACGGTCTTTGCGTACACGCCAAACGCGCGCAAGGACCCGCTTGTAACCACCTGTCTTCCTTTTCGCCGATTCGGGTGTACTTCGGCTCGGGGCAGATTTGGTGATGTCAGATCATTTCAACAAGAGAGTAACCGTTCAACTTCTCTTCACTTACTACATGCAGTAAATGTATCTCCATGTAATCATATTCATCACACCGTCGAGTACAAGTACATGGGTACTTCCAGAAATTAGGGGTCCGAAAGTGTGACACTTTTTGTGTCCCCGTTACGTCTGACCTTTGTTATTTGCCCCACATGATGATGAGGATAACGATGATTGTTTTGTGGTAATCCTTTTGACTCTCTGTTAGGTTTTGACCATCTTGTAAATTTGTCTTTTTCTGAAAGTTACCTGTTGAGT